ATTAAAAGCTGTCACTCATCTTAGTTCATCTCGATCTCACATTTATAATTAGGGATGCGCCGATCCGATATTCATATCGGGTATCGGCTCCGATAAGTGCAATTTTTCTCGGATCGGGTATCGGTCAGAGAGGGCCGATCCATATCCCCGATTGTGCGAATTATTCTGTGTTACTTCTGAAGCCATACGATAGCTTAATGTGAGCTACATATGAATATTTATGTCCTTACATTAAAGTTCACACAAACTCTTTTCTCCGCTGTGGCTGTCAGTCATTCGTTCAGCCTTTAAACCCTGGTCGCGTTCGGTTACAGCAGTCAGCTCGGTAAAGCTCTCTCCAAGATCATTCTGTGTTCCCATTATACTTGATTTGTAAATACATGTCTATGATTTTGCAAAAAGGACTTTATCTTCTTGCCGGAGTTTAATGTTGTTTTGTTACTTGCTACCGTGTGTCTGTGAGAACAAAACACGGGCGTAGAAAAGACTATAAATTGTTTTTAACGTGCACAGTAACTGAAATTTAAAACTGTTAAAAGAAAGGCTTAATAACTGTTGCACAGATATAATACACTACGCATCAATTTCTCTTCCCTTTGTGCTTTGCCGTTTTTAACACGAAGCGCTTACAATGTGCGCATCCGGTGTGCAGAATGATGCGCTTGAAGCAACATGCACGCAGCGCTCGCAGCGCTTTGCATTAAAACGTGCAAAGCACAAAGGGAAGAGAAATGGATGCGTAGTGTGTGAAACAGTTTTATAGTCTTTTCTACGCCCGTGTTTTGTTCTCACAGACACCCGGTAGCAAGTAACAAAACAACATTAAACTCCGGCAAGTAGATAAAGTCCTTTTTGCAAAATCATAGACATTTATTTACAAATCAAGTATAATAATGGGAACACAGAATGATCTTGGAGAGAGCTTCACCGAGCTGACTGTCGTAACCGAATGCGGCCAGGGTTTAAAGGCTGAACGAATGACTGACAGCCACAGCGGAGAAAAGAGTTTGTGTGAACTTTAATGTAAGGACTTAAATGTTCATATGTAGCTCACATTAAAGGTGGTAAACCTTAAAAGGATAAAAGGATACGGTTTCTACGTGTATTTACACTTTGATTTGAACGAAAACAGCACATCCATGCAGCGCGGCTGATACAGAAGAGCGTATTCTGCTTGCGTCCAGCGGATATTCTCTAAAATGGCGCTACGGTGATGTGGAGAGACACAGAGGAGACGAATTGTTGAATAAAGTCGTTATTTTTGTTTTCTTCGCATACAAAAAGTATTCTCGTCGCTTCATAACGTTACGGTTGAACCACTGATGGCAGATGGACTATTCTGACGATGTCTTTCATACTTATCTGGACTTTGACAGTGTAATTTACTAGGCATTCAATGGGACAGTCACAAGCCTCCCGGTTTTCATTCAAAGTATCTTAAATTGTGTTCCGAAGACGAACAAAGCTTTTACGGGTTTGAAACGACATGGGAGTAAGTGATTAATGACAACATTTTCATTTTGGGGTGGAGTAACCCTTTAAGCTATCGTATGGCTTCAGAAGTAACACCGAATAATACGCACAATCTCGGATATGGTTTGGCCCTCTATGATCGATACCCCATCCGATAAAAAATGGCAGTATCGGAGCCGATACCCTATATGAATATCGGATCAGCGCATCCCTAGTATTGTGCATGCGCAGAGGCAAATCAAAATATATGGTCTGCATAAGGTGACATTATGTCCAATCTGGCCCTCGACCTAAACTGAGTTTGACACATCTATGTTAAAAGCTCATGGTGTGCAGAAAGAAACTTGAACATGTTTTTTTTTGTCTGCAATACAGTAAAAGAATAGTAGTATTGACTTTTCTGCTAGTAATTTAGTATTAAATACCAGGGGTGTAACGATTCACTCGATTCAATCGATCTTGAAGCATGGATTTTTGAATCGTGGATTTCGGACAGTAATAGATTTAAAACGCTAAGAATCGAATGAATCGCGAGGAAAAAAAAATTAACTTAAATGATTTTAGCAAATGGCTGCAATATAACAAAGAGTGAAAAATTTAAGGGGGTCTGAATACTTTCCGTACCCACTGTATATATAGGTACACATTAAATTACTACAAGCAGGTATTAATGAAGACCTTGAACAGTGTTCGTGCCTCGCATCTCTCCTTCACACGCTGCACTATTTACCACCTGTGACTGTCACAGGATTGCGCTCGCGCTCAGTTCGTCTCACTGACACATTTTTTGAGCAGCTGATGTGTGATCTCTCCTGAGTACTCATGGCCAGTAATGCTAAAGTGAGGTAGTTT